TCGTCATTTATTGATACAAAATATTTTTTTTGCATTCTTTTAAAACTTATGTGAAAAAAAACTTTTAGCAATTGATTTTTTTTCATGAAAATTTTGCAAAAATATTTCCAGATTTAAATTTTGTTTTTCACGTGCTTTCATGTAGAACTAGCCGTAACCCACCCACTTTATTTCATGTTGTTGACAGTCATTTAGTCATGTTATGTGACTATATATTATTTTTAAATCTTTGATATCTTAGGTTCTAGCATTCTGAAAATCTCTTTTCTGTTACGATCCGCGGAGTGGAGTGATATATTGGATTTAATTAGTGATCATTTCATTTTGAATGGTTGTAGTAATTTTTGTATTCACAGAATGGAGGATATTGGTTGCTATTAATCCACATTTATTTTCAGTAACACGTGACTATTTACAAAAGACGAAGGATAAGCAAACAATTACATAGCAGTTGTAATAAGCAGCATTTTACGTAGAGAGAACAAGAAGTAGGCGAATTTTCCCTAGAAACGGGAGCTTTTATTTTAAGTGGTAATCGCGCGAAAGTTACAAAATTCACATGACTTTCGTGGACGAAATTTGCGACTGGTGGAAAGATATGGTACAATGAAGTCATATGTAACTTTAACTTAAATACGGTAAGCTTTTAACTTTTAAGAGGTAAAGTTATGATTTTATCCCTTTAGGTGGAGAAACTGGGGAATTATTTACGCTCGAATCCTGAAGGGTCAGAACTATTACAAATTAAAAATTTGTTTAAGATGAAATTAAAGAGAGTTATATATATATATATATATGTACATGCATATATATAGAGAGAAAAAGATAGATATGGCTCCAAGATTAATATTAAATTCTGATCTCTTTTATTTTTTTTAGGTGGAGAAACTGGGGAATTACTTGCTTTCGAATCCTGAAGGGTCAGAACTATTAAAAATTAAAAATTAGGGAGTTATATAAATACATGCATGTATAGAGAGAGAAAGAGACAGATATGGCTCCAAGATTAATATTAAATTCTGATCTCTTTTATTTCAGACATAATTGTATCCATTTTTATCCAAGTTGATTCATTTTTGCCACTCTCTCTCTCCGATATAAAATGTACTTCTTATTTCGTCTTCTATTACTGTTATTCTAAATAGGTTTTTATTTAATATGTTACAGCAAAAAAATAACTTATTTATGTAATTATTGGTTTGAGTTACTACGTCGCAAATTTTCTCCCGAACTTTCACAATTTTTCTTCTTAAAATAGGGGGCGTTGGTAGTTGAATGTGAAGGTCAAGAAATCGTGATTATTGTGGTCATGTCCTTTTAGAGAGAGGTTGCATTCTAAATCTGTCTAGTGGTTGTGAAAATCCTTTCGTTGGTGCAGTGTGGAAATTTGGAAAATGTAGTGTGAAATCAGGTATCATCCAATTCCTTCGATTGGGTATCTAAAGGGCGTCGCAAAAAGTCCTTTCACAGCTTCAAAGGGTGACGTTAGTAAAAAAATCAAACCAAATCTGAAAATGTCTTCCACATTTAGTTAAAGGCTCTTTTATATTTCTGGAAGACGAAAAACTGTTATTATATTGTTTCATGAAATCCGTCCATGACCGTGGTGGACTAATGTTTATAGCCAATAACCTGTGGCTGGTGTGTCGTGGGTTCAAGTCCTGCAGCCACAGAAAACCCGTCATGTAGAGTGACTGGGGCACGTCAAGTTCTTCGGTTGGCCTAGTTTCAAGAGGTAAAGGGGCATCTAGGTGTCATCCTTGTCACTACTAAATTAAATGAAAATTTTCTTTCGATTGATCGCGTGCGATAGATAATTTTTCTCTCCTTTTTCAATTCCTACTATTGGTTCACACTCTCCCTATATATATATATATATATATATATATATATTACAATGAAAAAATAACAAGACTCAACTATACAACTAACAAAACTACAAGATAGAAACCAGGTTTTAAGACACAAAAAAAGGGTGCAAATGTATATAGTACAAGTTTTAAATAAACGTATGTTTTGCAGAAAACAGAGTTAGAACTTTACAATGGAAGAAACCAAAAGAGTCAATGGACTAAAATGGAGACCTCTTATGATTTCTAAAACTGTTGCTGAATTAGGACCAGAAAATTAGGGTTAAGTATACATTACGGATCCACCTTCCCCGTACAACAGAAATTTTCGACATAATAGAAAAAACAGAGCTATATTGAATAGTTAGGCCTAAAACTAACACACGTGTATTTTGCAACGGACAGAAAAATAAAATAAAATAAAATAAAGTTATGATAGGAAAGGTTTCTTACAAAGAGATGAATATAAAAAATAATTTTGTTAAGGAAAAACTAAGCAAAAACTTACATGTATGAATGCTAACCATAAGAGAAAAAAAATGACACGTACCTTTGTCAAGCACGTGCGCCAAATGACGAGTTAATATTGGAGTGTTAAACCAGAAACAAAAAATAGTAGCGCCACCTAGATTGTTTTATTGTAATTAAACTAAGCAAACGATAACATATTGAAATTAACAACAAAATAGAAGGAAAAAAAGAACTATATTTAATAATTAAAAAGAAAGAATTAGAAAGAGTTAAGATAACAGAAATATATTTAAAAATAAATTTACTTGTATAGTTGTAATCCAAGCAATTATTTCAGAATTGCTTATAATTTCTTTGTTTAAAATCATTATCAGTAACTAAATCATTGTTTATTTTTATAAAATTTAAGATAATATTTCTAAAAATAGATAGGTGTAGGTTACTACACCAAAATGGCATTTTTATAATGTTTAAACCAAAAGAGTCTCTTTTATCAAAAATATTACTAATTAGTAGATTATTCTTAACATTTAATTGAATGTCTGAAAAGTTTGGGGATTCATTATTGTAATTGGTTTTTAATAATTTCAGATATTACGGATAATAATTAAAACTAGGAACATAATCTACTATATTACTGAAGATAATTAAGTCATCTATGTATCTAAAAAAGTAACAAGATTCGAAACTAATGCTATCATATTCATAAAAGTGCAAATAAATATTGTCCAAACAATTACTTGCAGGCCCTCCTAGTGGAAGACCTTTAATTTGCTGATAAGAGTTATTGTGAAAAATATAATTTTCATTTAGTACTAATTGAATTAAAGAAAGATATTTATCATACTTAATTAGTTCAATCAAAAAATATTTGTTATAGGCTATTTTGAGAATTTTAACCAAGTCTACAATATCTATGGACTTAAAATAAATCTTCAAAGTCATAGGTATGGATAAAGATAATTTTTTTACCTTACATATACTTAATAATATCTATGCTATTCTTAACAATAATAGGATAATATCAATATTGTATAATGGGGATTGAATAATCTTTTATATATATATATAACTTGTTCAAATTTTCAATCGTTAATAAAATATTTTTTTTCATCCACTCAAGTTCAAATACATTTTTTAACTTTGTAGTGGATGACACTTGATGATAATACACTGCTGGCCACCGTAAATGCAACACCAATAAAGACAAGAGATAGCACAACAAAATTTATTTTGTAGATAACATTTTGACCAAGTATCAAATGATTAAATTTATAGACTTCTGTGATGTGTGGTTCCTGCCAGAATCAGTAGCCAGAGTAGCCGCCATTGTTGGAGAACACTGCTGCCACACGCCTCGGCATTGATTCAAAGAGACTTTGGGTGTGCTCTTGGGGTACAGCAGACCAAGCAGCTTCCACACGTTGCCAAAGTTGATCTGGTGTGGCAGCTGGGGGTATAATCTGGGTCAATCGTTTAGCAACCATGGACCACATGTTTTCTATCTGCGAAAGATCCGGAGAGCGAGCCGGCCAGGGAAGCAATTCAATCTCGTGAATGACGAAGAACCTTTAGACAATGCGTACCACTTGTGGTCGCACATTATCCTGTTGAAATATGGCTGTGGCCAAGCCCTGAAGGTAAGGAAGGACAACTGGCTCCAACACCTCGGAGATGTAGCGCTGTCTATTTAAAGTACCGGCAATGCGTACCAGAGAAGTGCGAGAGTGATATCCAATACCGCCCCATACCATAATACTCGGTGCAGGACCAGTGTGGTGGTACATAACGCAGCTGTTCAGCTTCCTCTCTCCACGGTGTCTCAAGACTCGAATCCGACCATTGTGGTGTTGTAGACAAATGCGTGACTCGTCAGTAAAGACAACTTCATTCCATTCTGCCGCCCACGTCCTTCTTTCATCGCACCATTGGCGGCGGAGACGTCTATGGTTCTGCGTCAAGGGTAGTCCAAGCAATGGACTTCTTGCGGACAGACCACTCTGCTGTAAACGGCGTCGAATTGTACGCGTAGACACTGAATGATGCGTCACAGACTCAATGTGCTGTGCTATGGTTCGTGATGTGACTGAGCGATCCGTCACTTCCATGCGCACAATTTGCCTGTCCTCACATGAAGTGGTGCACAGAGGTGGATGCGATCGACCACGTCGTCCGTCGTACCCTCCTGCATCCAACGGTCACATATCCGCATTATAGTTGTTTGGTTTCGTCCAACACGACTACCGATTTCCCTGAAAGATAATCCAGAATCTCGGTAGGCCACTCTATGCTTCCTCTGTCGAACTCGGATACTTGATCAAAAGCTGATCGCTGTTTTCTACGAGACATAACTGATCGTTTTTTGAAAAAAACACAAGAAAAACTCAATTGCCGAACTTGAAATCGTCGAAATCTCCAAGCCTTAAATAGCGCTTTCAGGTGGCGCCACAGGCGTGCATCCGCTGAAATTCTAATCATTTGCATATCTCACCTCCGCTAATGCATGTTGTAAATTTCATGTTATTTGCGTGCTTCCTTCAGGGTGTTACATTTACGGTGGCCAGCAGTGTAGTTTTTTTGAAATATTAATTCATTAGTTCTATTTAATTAATGAATAAATTGTAACAAGTAAAAGTAATCATCCAACTCCATACATAAAAAGGAGAATCACTCGTTGGGGTCTTGCAGCGCATTGGATAGCTCGTTTGACTTTTAATCTAAGGGTCGTGGGCTCGAATCCCACCTGGGATGATCTAATTTCTGAGAATGTAATTTGTTTTTACTATAATGTTTTATTGGAATAATTAAATTTAATTAATTAATAAATAGTAAGAAACAAAAAAATATAGTCTAACTCCCTATATAGAAAGGAAAATGGAAAATTGCAAAAAAATCACTTCCTATTTTTCTATTTAATATTGTGATTCAGTAATATGTATATACATATTTAAAAAAGTTGTAATTATTTAATAAAAAGTGACTAAAATAATTTTTTTTTTTACCTAAGTAGAATTTGACTTAATTTTTTTTTATTACTTGTTATAGTAAATTTAGAAATGGCCGTGTGGTATTGAAAATCAAAAAAATGCACCCTTCTCATGGATATCTGCTCCTACCTCTAATTCGTTATTTTTACTTCTGTAAGTCCTCTGTGCAGAATGTTTCGCAGCACAGTCCACTTCACAGAGCGAGATTTCTCGAATCTTCTTGTGTCCGGTGAAAAATTTCACTTTTTCCGACCCACTTCTTCCTCACACGCGATGCAGAAACGTGCAGGTGCATCTTGGGCTCGAGCCCCGAGGCACGAGGAAACACTTTCTCCCTTTCTTCGAGTGACGGAAGTATTCGTTCCATTTATCATAAAAGTACTCAAACCAATGCAATTCCCAAAAACAAGATCTATTGCAGCATCGATTTTAGTGCTGTGGAGCTCGTCTGACGAGACAACTTGGTGTTTTTAAAGATAAAAGACAAATATTTAAGTGAGACAAAGTTTGACAAAAATGATGCTTACAAATGATCTCTTGTTGGAAAATGTACATTAATATTCACCTTCCTACTCCAACAAATGTTTCATCCTACTCTTGTGACGGTAGAAAGTTCAATGAGATGGGTGGGAGTTTGTCTCTTTAGATGTAAATTATGCAAAAGCTGTAGAAAGCTCAATGAGATAAGTTGCACGCGTGAACAGAAAATATAATCTTTGTCAAAAAACAATTGCTTTTACATTGTGTCAAGATTCGTTGCTAGAACTGTCTCTAAGAATTTTATAGAATATTTTAAAGGTTTTTTTATTTCTTTCGCTTGCTGTCTTAAGGTGGCCCTAGTTGTTGCGGTCACGTGACTGGAGTGCACCCCCCGTTGTGCAGGGAGGGCACCTTCAATCTGAGCTCAGCGGTCAGGGACTCGTGGTTCGATCCCAGTGCTACTGACGAGCCACAGTGGGAAAGTTAAATCTGTTAAGGCTCAAAGTGCTCCCGCTGGTGAGGCGTGGTAGTTTGGAGAAGGGGATATACCATCTCAGGTATCGTCCTCGCCACTTGGCCCTGGTTCAATATAGCGAGGTCCGTCGCCATTAAGCCTCGGGATGACTCTCACTCGCTTGATGCCATAACGTTTGTTTGCCAGCTGCTGTGTCGACCTTGTCAAGAAACCATGGCTTAAAATTATGAGTTCTGTGGTGAGTGGATCTTTTTTATAGGTAAGAAATAGACACCCGGCAGGTGTTCACATGAAACAGAATGTTTATTTAACAAACTTTTAAAAAATACATAATTTGTGTGTGAGTGTATTTTTATGTTTCATTGATAAAATATTCACTGAAAAAGGTAATCCCTTCAAAAAAAATTTTCCATTTTTCTTCAATGCTCTTTTCTTGAACGAATTACGCAAAAATTTGATTTATTTGTTTACTCGGGAGAACCGTGTTCACCTAAAGGGTTACGAACAGTCAACCTACACTCCAAGAAGATTATTGATCGATTTACAAAACTAAATACATAAAAAATTTTATTAATTTTAGAAGAGCGTATTAACAGCACCATAGAATCCAATTTTTTTTAAATATTGAAACAATAAGTTGGAATGTTGCGCCTCCAATGGATACATTTTCAGCAGATGTTTTGAAAAATGACCTTCAATTAAATGAATGCTGCATGGAATGATTCAAACAGGCTCTGTCATCGGCTTAGAACGATTCTTTTGAATATGAAACGGCTTCGAATAATCGTGCAGAACATGTGAATGGATTGAACAAATGAAAAAAGAGACCTTGAAACCAGACGCAAAAATTGTGGAAAACGATATTCTGTGTTAACACAAAGAAAAAAAGGGGAATTCGTAAAAAAAAAGCTTTGGTTGATCAGCTGTTGTATAAGAGATGTTTTTCTTTTCTCGTCCATTTTATAAAAATTAGGCAATAAAAATGGGCCATTTTCTTACACTTAACTCTGTTATTGCTTTTCATTACTGTTTGGTAATTATGTAATTTTCTATGTTAATGCGGTATTTTTAAGGAACCGATGAACATAGAAAGGGACATGGGGAAGTATCTAAAGATTGACTACATTTGCTAATGAATAATTTGATTATAACCCCATTGATTTCAACGCACATTTGGTAATTTTTACCATATATTATTATATCTAAGCCTTTTATATGAAACAGCTAAAATTGCTACTCAAATTACTCGAGACATATTGTGAAACAGATTAAATATTGTTTTGATCAGGCTTAAGATCAGGATCAAAGGTACATTGCAGCAAAAGTTCCGCCCTCGTCATACTTTTCCCAATTTTTTAGCAATTAATACCAGCATCTTTTTGAAAAATAAATTAATTACGTGGGTTGAATGCGTTTGGGAGGGAATTTCATCAATCAATAGGATCACGTGTCGACCCCGTCACACTTTCGCATGATGACACTAATCGCAGGTCAAATAATGGGTTTTACTAACTATTGACGGGGTCACAGAGATTAGCAAACATTCGCTTTCACAGAGAAGCGCTAATTACCCGGCTATTAGGCCTATTTGAATATCGGAGCGAAATATTCTATTATGAGCCCTTTGCAGTTAATTGTAGAATGTTTATTGCATTCAAAAAGGAATATGGGGTGTTACATACTTCAACGAGAATTAGAATAAAACTCCTACTGCAACTTACCCCACACATTTTTAAAAAAAAAAAAATCTTGCAAAAAGGATTTTTTTGTATTATTTATAAAAGATTTATGTAATGTGATTATATTAAATGCGCAGCCTGTAATACTATTTAAAATTAAATATAATCTTTTAAAAATAGATTTACGGGTATAGTAATTTAATTATCACAGCAAAGAATAAAAAATACGCTTAAGGAAGGGAATTAAAGAGAAAAAATTACCGAAATACTCATAACTGAGTGTTTACGGTGCAATGGGCCGAATCCATATGACGTCACATGAAGAATGCAATCACGTGTCCAATTAATCAACTCATAAATTCACGTGACGTCAAAATCAGGCGATAAATGCAAACACGTACTGTCAACCAATCTGTCCATACGCTTCGCTGTAGCCAACTTTTGTTTTTTAGGGAAAAAGTTTGCATTAAAATGCACCTATTTGTCAACAGTAAAGCACTAAGTAAACAAAATACACGTGATTTCAAAGAACTCGCATAATATTAAGATTTTTTTTTTTAATTTGAAAACTGTGGAAATATTTGAACCTATTTACCCAATAGTCAAAACTGACAGTTTATCTAAATTTTGCAAGTATATATTTAATGTCGGTTTTTAATTCAATTGATTGTATTTATTATGTAACCGTCATGTTCTTTTTTTTTTGTCGTTTTTAAGCATTACACTCGTATTTCGATGTTTACGCACACATACTTCCTTTAACTTCAATGTCATTTTCGCTTTATTCGAAAAGGATTTTTGTGTTAACTTTCGATCAGATCGTTAAGTGTGAGTTCAAATTTTCATTCTTTCTGTCGAAAGACAGAATTGCATAAAATGTATTAAACGTAAACATTTATTGATACTTTGTACAAGTATAATACGTTTATATTTCTTATTATTAAAAAAAATGCTATTTATTATTAAAAAAATTTCCTTTACGTATATAATGCGTCTTTTATCGACTGTTATGGCGTTATTGGACACTGTAAGGAAGGCTCATTAGTAGAACTCATCCTTCTATACATGCCAAGATTGACGTATGGAGGGTCAGTTGACTACATGCGACATTGCGTCTTAATAAAGGGCACTGGTGGTTCGCCCCTTTCACCTGAGGCATAACACGTGCGAGCTGTTTGAGAGAATGGCTTCGTAGTCGTTACTCCTTTCTTTCTTCCTGACTAACGGGCGCCTGTTTGCTCAAACACTCAATAGACGAGACATATTCCTTGTGTGCTAAGATTGTCCTACCCTATTGACGGAGCCAATTTCTATAGAAAGTTCTGGTGCCATAGAGTGTCACAGAAGCACCCTCGACGAAAGGTATGGCCGGTCGAACAATAGCCTCCAGATGTTGGACACAGGCCTTTGCCCCGGAAGAGATGAGAAGGAGTCGAGCCATTATTTGCCCACACCAGTGGAGTGCAAGTAAAGTCGGGGAAGCCACGTGCAAAATTTGCGGCCCACCAATGAAAGGTGGCGAGGGGCGTGAAGGAGACGCGCCCCTGGAGTTTAAAAGGGTCGATTCGGGATTGGAAATAGAAAAGAATCGCTGTTGTTATTGGTGAACTAAAACATTGGGGGGGGGCGAGTGCCCTCTGCGCCAACAGACTGACGCACGGGACCTCTGTAGCTGTACGACCGAAGAATGAAAGCGGATAATACAAGCGGCGCTACTGCTTGGCAGGTCCTGGCTGACATTCAACGGGACTTTATTTTTTTCTTCCCAGCGAGCAGTGGAATGTGACTATACTATAATAGTGTATTCTGGATAATAGTCACATAAACAGAAAAATTAAGTGATTTTTAACAATTAGCTTTATGACCGTACTCTGTCAAGACTCTACAACGCTCAAGTACGTACTGTCGTGATCAATTCTTCCTTTAAAATACATATATTGTATGGATATCACTTTTTGCTACCTTTTTATGACTTGTAGCAAATTTCTGGAATTTTTTTTCCATTTTATCTTCTAAGAATAAATCGGAGAAAATTTTTCATTCATTCATTTTCCAAAATGTCAAATGTAATTGAACTAAGAACTAGCATTAATTTTTTTTTTCTGCGATGGATTTTTTGCTACAAATATA